TGAGGTCAGACTCGTAACATCGAAATAGCAACCAGCAGTTTTGATTAAAATTACCCCGTAATTTAATTTATGGGCGGTATAATTGATCGGTCAGGCCTAAAACGCTGGTTGCATGGAAAGAAAAGTATTTGATAAAAAATATCGTTTCTTGACAAGTCTGTAAATTCATAGTCCTTTTTTAAAGAGGAAGCGGAATCATTTGCCCACAATTTCAGGGATAAAGTTATCAATTTCTGGTTTTCGGTGTACGAAATTCATCAAGTGGGGTGTCATGAACCCACAAAATTAATATCGTTGTCCTGAATTGAGGCACTAACGCAACAAGGACGATATTCTGAGACCTAATTTTTTATGAGCAAAAAATTTCGGTTACTTAAAAGTTAGCAAGAAAGTTATTTAAAATCATTTAAAGAATTTCTCGATGTTTTCCTGTCTTGGAATGAAATGGGAAGTTTGCGATGTTGCGATCGAAAATACAAGTTTTTCTAGTTTCAGTATCGGTAGGAGTAATTGAGACTCATTTTACGTGGTAAAATTAAAGCAGGCTGAGAGATTATCGGTTCTGTTTTGAGCTCTCTCATTATCCAGCGGGGCAGTTCAATGCCACTTTTAAACTGAGGCGACTCCTAAGTTTGTGTGTAACTTAAACGTGCAATGAGGCACAAAATAGTCTCATCACAGTGCAGTGACAACGATTTAGTGTTAAGTCCGATCAGTGGGATCATACTGCGTTCTGATTATGGTTGATGGTGATTTCGGTGGAGAAGATGGCGATCATGGCGTGGAAGGACTCAGGATTTGGACATTGGAAGAGGTAAATGGACCTTAATTTTTAAAGATCATTTAAGTTGTCGAGAAAGCACATGCTTTTTTAGAATTTAAACGCTTAGTTGAATATTCTAGTCCATCAGACGTGAACTGCCGTATGAACCGTCAGACGCTCCCCAATTTCCTTTGACAAATCACAAATTTTCAAACATTTTCCTTCCGATTCCATAAATAATTTTCCTAGTAATTTGGACTGAAGTGTCTGCAACTTTCAAGGGAAAAGATTTATAACTTTCTCCAAAAATAAATCTTTTCTGGGAGGAAACTTGTTAACATTTAAATGCTCATACGACGAATTTTCCTCACAATAAGGCAGTGCAGTAGTCATAATGTATTTTTTTGAGGAATCTCACGGTGAAAAAAGTTCCTAGACGTTGAATAGTTGACAGGAGAGAATTGGACTACATTTTGCAATTAGGAACTGCAATTTCTGGCTTATCCGTGAAAACACTAATGTGCCTAGGGAAAGTAATGGTACGTACGTTATTTCAAAACTGGGCAAGACATTTAAGTTCCTAATTGCAAAATGTAGTTCAATTTATGACTTACTCTAAACTCACTTTTTCCACAAAATACGACTCAGCGCGTTTTTGTTAAACTCGGCCCATACCAATTAAGACCACAACGCTGCGATGGTAAGGAAAAACGCCATATGAGTATTCGAGAGTTGCCAAATTTCCTCCAATAAAATGTTTATTTTTGAGGAGAGCTATCAATATTTTTCTTTGAAATTTCCCCACCATTTGGATCAAATTACGAACAAAATTCTCTGAAAAACCGCAAGGAAAATGTTTATATATATTCCCCAAAATTTGTGATTTATCAAAGGAAATTTGGCAACGCCTACAGGTATATCAGCATTTTTCCTTAGCGCGGCAGGATGGGAGGTCCTAATTTTTAAAGCCTCAGGTACAAGATAAAAATATAAAATTTACGAATCCCCCCGAAACAGCGGCTGACATGCACCAGGTTTCTGACATACTAGCAGCAGTAAATTGCACCAAAATCTGATACCCGTGCACTTGTTGCCTCATCAAAGGCCCGCGACCGCCGGTTCGGTTATCTCGGACGTTATCGACAGTAACCTTTAGCTTTTCGGGACCGACGTCTCACTTAATGCACACCTGTGTACTCGACAGGATTGGTTAAATGGGCGAGGAGGAGTGAGTGAATTTCAGCGATTAGAGATGACCTTTCGAGGATGACTCGGGCCGCGGCGGCGGGCGCAGTACTAATTAGACGCCCATGTCCACTCTCCCCAGGCGTGAGAAGTTACGACCGAAAAGGTGAAGCCCAGAATATGGAGATTATTAATCTAATTAGCGGAGAGGTGAACTTACTCCGAGGATCGCTCCGAGCGCTCGTATTTTGTCTTCCGTTTTGACAGCTTCCCGGGCGCGTCCGTCGGACAGGTTGCCGGCTTAAAAATCAGACGCGGCCGCGCTGTTAAAGAGAATGAGTCACTATTGCCGTGATAGCGAAGAGAGCAGTCAGCGTCAAATTTTTGAAATCAAGTTTCCTTCAAAATTCGTCTATTTTTTTCAGACGAAATCACTGAAATCTCTAAAGCAGCAGAATTGAGGGGCTTGGAGGATAAGGCGCATAAGTGCAGTTTTTGAAAAATTGAGATATATCAATGATTTCAAGTAAAAGTGGTCTTAATGCATATTCCGCGAAGAATTCGCTCCCAAACCCTGCTTTTTAAGCACGGAAAAATCAGTTTGAACTTTCTGCCCGCCATAAGGCTCCATGTGATTTCGAAACTTCAAACGCGTATTTCTCGAAATAGAAAACACTGCCCTTATGCGCCTTGTCCTCTGAGCCGCTTAATTCATCATAATTGTATGAAAACGAAACATGTGAGAAAGCCATACGTACGCAAAAACTGACGTAGTTTCAGGCAAAACAGCCGTAAGTGGCATCTTTCCTCTAGTGAGCTAATGAAAACAGTACTTTCAAGAGAAGTGCTCTCTTCTGCCACACTGGAAAAAAAACACATTGGATCTAGAGTCCAGAATCTTAAAAACATTGACAAGAAAAAGTACTTCTGATTCAATCAGATTTAAGCTTAAATCAAAAGGAAATCCGCTTAAATTAAGAGGCTTGGTTCTTAATTTAAGCTAAAATCTGATTGAATCAAGAGTATTTTTTCTTGTCAATGTTTTCAAGAGTCTGGACTCTCGATCCAATGTGTTTTTTTCCAGTGCAATTTTCATAACCTGAAAATGTGTCTGTTGTATGTGTCCAAATCGCAATCACGAAAGCATTCAGAAGGTAGCACTTAAGGTTGTCTTGTCTAACACTAACCTAACATGAAAATGCATTTGTAATCCTCCAAAATATTTTTAAGAGTTTTTCGGATGATTAGTGGCCATTTTACGAAGAAAGAAGGCTTCTTTCACTAAAATTTTCCGGTCAGATGCTTCTGAGCCGGATTTCTCAAAACTTTATATTTGCTTTTACTGCTCTCTTCGCTATCACGGCAGACTAAATCTGGGTTTTTATTTGATATTCTGAAAGCACCAGGTGAGTAGATCGTGGGATGATTAATTGCGTATTTTTAAAGCCAAAACACTGGAGAAAACCGCTTTTGAAAAGTCCAACAAATTCAAGGCGTTTCAAACGCTACCAAATGCCGCGAAAATGATGGCAGCGAAGCACTATGACAGTCAAATCACCATCTCCACTGACCTTTGCAGCGTTGCAATGTAATCAAACCCCTATGGCTGTCACACTTTCAAATTGACCCTCCATGACTATTAGGTATCCAAGTGGGCAGGGCTATCATCTCTAGGCGAAATTGCGAAATCCTAAGATGCTCATCTTGTTCGAGGTTAGAATGATGTCGATATTTTAAAACTCATAAGACTTCTGAGCGCTCAAATGAAAAAAAGAAACTGCATGGTTTTAAATTATTTATTCCGAATAGTTGTTCCATTTTTTTTATTCTTAATATAACGATAAATGAGAGTAAAAAATCCTGTATTATTACGTGACTTTATTTACAAATATTATATGCACTACCCCGAGCAATTCATACACGGAAAAACGCGTTTCTCATTGTTGTCAGGCGGATTTTTGCCTGAAGAAAGAGCCTGGATCGAGAGGAGAGAAACAAGACAAAGAAATCAAACAAGAGAACATCAAAACCACCCTAAAGGAGATCATAACTGAAATTGAAGAACACGTTGGCGTCAACGGTGTGGATCATCCCCAATCAAGCGAAAAAGAGAATCAACCCCCAAACACTGTAAGTATAACCTTGTCAATTATAAACTAAGGGCAAAGCTCCCTGTCACTACCCAGGTTTGATGGTATTATGAACTTTGAGTAATTTTAACACCGAAATAGGATCATAGACTAAATAATCTGTAGTTTTTAAAAGCATGAACTCGAAATGATCCGTCCCCGAATTGTGTTGGCAGATTTGCAGTCGACCGATAGTTGGACGTATTTCTGCCGAACGGAACTATGTGCATTTTGACGTGAGCCTTGTTATGCATATATTCTTATGGGTCTCAGAGCTCATGTCTAAATGTACATGGTTCTGTTTACGACCTTGAATAACGGATGATGTACGTATTAACTTAGATGGGGTAAAAGTTGAGTGAGAAAAAACGCGAGATACAACTATTTCTACTTCTAAGTAGGCAAAATTGCGAATCCACGAAATGAAGGAGATCCCGGATTCTTTTCGGATGACGTGGAGATTTTAACGCAGAGTAGAAAAAATGGATTGGGCGAAGCAAGTGATATACCTGTTTCGATTTCAAAGAAGATTAAACTCATATACACTTCTTAGTGAGCGAGTTTGACACACTAAAATGGGATTTTTTACAAAGCAGACGTGCTTTACCATCAAAGGTCGAAAAATAACGACTCCATCTTGAGGGAATCTCTTTTGAAGCAAACCGTATTGAATATACGAACTGTACATATAGTTTAGATGCTTGAAATGTAAAAATATACAGTTGCTAACAATTTTCTTGATTGATTTTTGAACTGCAAGAATGATCATAGCGCCTCTTGCAAAGTTCAGTGTCCATCTATGTTTCATAAACGACAGAAAAACTTCAGATTATATCCTATTGGTATAGTTCCTTTCTTTTTTAAATCTTGTTGTATTTTCCCCTCAAACTAAAATAAATTAATCAATGCATGAATTCTCTTACCTTCTTTTGGCCGTTAAAAGTTCCAGGCCTGCGTTGAACTTATCACGAGTAACCTGAAACACAGTTAAAGAAGAAGATAACACACAAAGTTCAATAGCCTAGGTGAAAATATTCCATATTCATGAATGTGAAAATTAACTTCTCCGGCAGCGACAAAATCCACAATGCTGGAAACAACGTTCAGTCGTTGGAAGGCCCGGTGCATGGCCATTTCCCGTTACATTTTGGAAAAATATTCAATATTGCAAGTAGAGCTGGTTCCAAATTATCATAAGATGTATAAAAGATATCATCTTAGAACTCAATCTTTAGTCGCAAAAAAATCTATTCAAGCGTTTTCCGGACTATAAGCGCTAATTTTTCAACCTTAAATCTATGTATTTCTCTTAAAAACTCAAAAATGTTACTTGTCTGTTCATGCACGGAGCCCCCTCGATCCACCCTGTGTACAAATATAGGTCTGCGTGTTTTCAATATTTATTACTTAATTATATGTGTAAATAATTTTACGTAATTAACAATGAAATGTGTTTTCGTGTCAAAAATGATTTAAACAAAAAGTAATTTTTCAAATTTCTAGGTAAGTAGTACCTTGAAATTTTGACAAAACAAACATTTAATAAAATTGCAATTTGACTTTGAAACTCTTACACACTTGGTGAAAACTTGTGGAGTGTTTACATGTAAATTAGAGACGTGTGATTGCATGAAGCATGTTGTTACAGTCACTGACGACATCTCAACCTCCTCCTTTGGAACCTCTCTGCAACGGTTACACGGAACCCACGAAAAGGCTCCTGTCCCAGCTCGAGGAGATCAAATTCAAACCCAGGCCTCAATCTCTCCCATCAGATGCCAATCTTTTTCACCTCTGGCAGAGTTTACAGGTAACAAAATATTTCTAATAGAGGAATGCGAAACCGGAAAAAGCGGGATATCTCTACAGGAAATGGGTGAATCAATGAAAAGATCGGACCAAATGAAACAGATTCATGGTGAAGCTAGAAAAACTCTAATCTCAATCGGACTACATTTTGCAATTTGGAACTATAAATTCCAGCCCGGTTTAAAAACAACGTATGTGCCATTAGTTTCCCTATGCACATAAGTGTTTTTCTGGAGGAGCCAGAATTTATAGTTCCAAAGTGAAAAATGCAGTCTAATTGCAAATATCGACGGTGGAACTGCAAAAATGCGTATCTCGGTTGCGGTGTTTCGAAATCTCTGTTCCTAGTTTATTCTTTAAAAGAGATCGAACCAACACCATGACTTAAAGGGTTCACAGAATATTTTTCATAAACAGAAGAAAAATCACTGAAATTATCAAAAAACGTTCAAGGGTTTCCCATGTAGAAAATAGAGTATGACGTGAAGTTTGCAACTCCGCAAACCGAGGTACGCATTTCTGCAGTTTCACCATGGAAATGTTCCTTAATCTTGAAAAAAAGAAAAAAAAATATTGCACTAAATTTTTTCAAATAAAGTTTTGTAGCGTATATGTAATAGAGCAAAAAAAAAAAAAAAAAAAAAAAAAAAAAAAAAAAAAAAAAAAAAAAACAAGATGAATTTCATGGATGGGAAAACACAAATTTGTCATCCTTCGAACGAGTAAAATGTGACCGCGAATCTGCATTCTGCAACGTCGCAAACCAACATACCTGTATAAACATTCAGTTTCGCCATCAAAATTTACTGCACTACGCAATGGGCGGGTTGTAATTGCAACGTTAAATTTTTCGGGTATTCCAAAATGCCCACGAACCCTCCGATTTTCTCATAACGTAGCAAGAACGGTAAATACGCGAAAATTTTGAGCAAAATCCCTCCTGACTTCAAATTTTAGAATGAGCTCATGGTCGAAATATCTTCAGAGGAAGATAACATGATTATATTGACTGGAGCTAGATCATGCGTCCTTTAGCTGACTGGATGACCTGATTACGGTCTGAAAATTCAGCCGATATTATTGTAAGCACCCTCATCATAGCATGGGTGAATCATATTAGCAAGGCAATCAGTATGCTATGAGTGTACCAATACCAAGGGAATACTCGAACGTTCCTTTACGACGTAACGTAACGGAGGTGGGGTTGATGTCACTCGAATGCCAGGATTGATGTCACTGCATTCTGACCTGTTGACCGTATTCGATTATTCGTTTAGAATTTAAATGTCCGAGGGCGAATGATGGGCATTTTGGCCGAGGTGTGGAAGTTACCTAATAGCGCTGCGTTTCTCTTTTCAGATCGCAAGTGAGCTGAAGCACGTACTCAAGGAAAGCGAAGGTCAAAATGGAATCCAAGTGAGTAAACAATAATTTTTCAAACATTTCAATAGGGGGACACAAATGCGCGAAGGAGGGGGGGGGGGCTTAATTCCGTATCAAAGTATTGGCATCTCGCGGAAGCTTACGTCAGTTGCGCGTCTCACATATAACGATGGCTAAAGTGTGAAACCACGTATCTAAATTGTGGTGTTTCAAAATCTTTGCTCCTATTTTATTTTTCGAAGAGGAGCAAAGCAAGATTCATGGCTATTAATTTTTACAGAGTATTCTACTAAAAGAGAAGAAAAATCAAGGAAGTTTTCAAGAAATGACGTTGACTAGTTTTCCAAGGAAAAAATACAATATGGCTGGAAATCTACAACGTCGCAAACGGAGATACGTGGTCTTGCACTTTAGCCATCGATGTATAATAGCATTTTGATGATCATTGAGTACCAAACGGACAAAGCATATTAATATCCATTCAAAAGTTGAGTTTACACTTCAATTACTAAAGATAGCATCGTCATTTGAGAGAAAAAATTGTACGTGACGTCACCCACATCGGAAGAGCGCACCAGGCTTTCTTCCACGTTACTTTGACCGGTATTTTCATCCAGCACAGCGGGAGCGAATACTCACATTGGTCAGTGATGAATTCAAGGTAAAAAATCAAGGGATTTACTACTACGAATAATCTCGGTAATGAATTCAAAGTAATAAATAGAGGGATTCACTACCGCAAATAATGACATCAACCGCCGAGTATTCTGAAGGGCGATATCGACGATACTATTGGACGTAGAATACTAACGATTGGACGATTCCCTTTATTTATGACTGATTTGCAAACTAAAAGTAACAAAAACACGTTTCTGTGGCACGTTCAGCGCTGCCCTATCGTATCGATAATACTCTTAAGTTATTAACAGACCCCCCATTCCCCCATCCCCCACCCATCCCTCCATCCCCCCATCCCTCCATCCCCCCATCCCTCCATCCCCCATGCCCCCATCCCCCCATCCATTTGACGCCTATTACAGCCCAATCCAAAGCAGGTGCTCGGTGCTCGAAAGGGCCACTTCGAGGAAATAAAAAACTTGAGTCGTTATACAGTAATCAGAAAACATTGGATTTATCCAAAGATTGTCTTACCGATAGCTAAAAAATCATAAACGTGTGTCCTGTAGATATCTTGTTAAAATTAGAACATAAACTAAAGATGTCGTATGACGATGATTTAGACTGAAATCGAGTAAAATAATTTTTTTCCTGCTTCAGTGCAAGCGATCGGATTGATAATATGACAAAGAGCTGATCAAATCATGTGATACAGTACTTAATGAAGTTAAAGGATTCCAGTCTGGTCTGTAACTATTACACTTCATCGGATTGAAAATAATCAGCGAGTAGATTGTTTAAACGCAACTGAACGAAGCGCAAAAAGTGAACTACTGTAAGCCGTGTACGTTTGGTTGTCGACGGTGGAAGGAAAGGCGTTTCAAGTTGAGCTACTAATATATTGCGCGCGTTTTCTCTTGAAACGAAACTCACGTGGAGCTCTCTGTATTTTGATGACTCGACTTGTTATAAGCTGAGTTGAAGCTCAATAACACTTACTTCATTTCCCTCCGCATAGCCCTCGCAATGAACTTGGTAGTTGGTTATTCTGTGAATATATTTTGATCTTAGTATTAAAAACGCAATTTCCGCAAATTTTCACAATTTTCGGTGAAAATTTTTCACAAATATTCGCATTTTTAACCGTGACAGTTTCCTTCCTTAGATTACTGACCCAATTTCTTTAGCGTTTGAGTAGGTTTCATTTTTTTGATTCAGCAAATTTTCCCCCATTTCCCACCTTGAAACAGATTAAGTTTTACTTGATCACTGAACAAGTGATTCCCACATCTAGTTACTTTACGCCTTGAATCTGAATCGAATTTTATCGCAACTTTGAGACAAAACGCCGAAATTGAACGTACCTAATGCAAAACATACAACCTTAAAACATACAAATGCAATGGTCCGACCTATTGACATTGACGCAATGAGAGTAAATCAATCCGTGAACTAACTACCGGTGTTCGAACAGGAAAAGGACAGGTGTTAAAGATTCTTGAATTTCCTCATTTCCTACTTTGTAGAGGCGGAATTCCGGGGGTCAAATTTCCGCCAGACTATCTTAAGTTCTACTATAGGGTTTTCTCAAAGCAAAACCCTACATTGTTCCATCTGTAAGCTAATCCTTAAACGTAAACAATGAAGAAACGCAAACTGCAAATGTTTAAAATAACCTGTGAATGTCCACGAAGACAAAAGTTTTAGTGAAGGGACTCTACCACTAGCGTAACTATCTAATTTTACGATTTTTCCAAAAACCTGTCCATCCATGATGAATCCCGGTATTTCCCAGTTTTCCCAACCGTAGACTGATAGTAGACGGAGCTGATTGTTGAAATTGATAGACAAAGCTATAGACGAAGAAGACAAAAGGGATAAGGATGGATCCTATTGGTGGAAGCGGGTGGTTGCAATGGACAAAGGAGGTAGGTAACAGACTAACTAACGGCAACCCATGAGAGACCCTATAGTTAGTCCATCATTCATCCCCATAATCTAAAAGAGCCACCCAATTCAACCAATAGGATCGCTCCATACATCCTATGTCTTCTTTGTCTATCGCTTTGTCTATCGATTTCAACAATCAGCCCGTGGAACCACCTGCAGTTCCTTAAGTATGGATCTCTCGACTTTGAGCCTTGACAGCTAAGCGTCGGCCGTGAAACCTCGACGTGCACGTGTGGTTGCCGATGCGGCAGGTGCAAGATGCGCTAACATTGTCACTCTTGCGTCGCGTCGCGTTGTGTCGCCTCGAAATAGCCCCCGAATTCACGGTCAGAGCTGCCCGTCGTCTTTGTCGCCGATTAATCAGACGTCGCCGGCGTCGGCTCCCAACGTCTACCGAGTTTCCGAAAACCCGAAAACTCCCCCGCGAGCGCGACGATTTCTCGCCAGGTCCGGCGTGGGCGGAGGGGGGAGGGGCTCCGTGAGGGGAGGGGGTGCCTCGTAAAGGAGGGATTATTTTTAGCCCGAAAAAACGCGAAGTTCACACATGCAGCGCTCCGGTCCCGGTGAGTGGAGACGGAAAGCGGCCGTTCAACAGAAATAACACTTGAGGAACGCTGCCTGATCGTGCGTTAATCGACGAGAAAGGAAAAGGGGAGAATCGCATTTGAATCAGTGAGAACGAAAACACACCAACTCGGTAACTCGAAAATGCTCAATTTTCATTAAAAACAATAAAAATAATGAAGGTCATCGAAGTTAGGGCATCTGTTCAAATTTGCACCTTTAAGGTGTCCTCTGCACTTGTCTTTCGACACCAAAAATATTTTCCTTAGACTAACTTCTAACACTTACTGTGCAGTTTTGTGTGGGTCTTGAATGTTTTACTTTTTCGAGTTGATGTGTTTTCGTTCTCACTGATTCAATTAAGAACGACCTACCCGATTTTCGAATGCAACTCTGGTTCAATTTTGGACCTAATGGAGTTACATATAGTCACCTTCCGGCCAAAGTATCACAAGCACCATGCGACTTGAAAATTTCCGCCGTCATTTCATTTTTTTACAGAGAAATTGTTCGACGAAGCTGTCCGAAAATATCACTGAATTTTCTTTGTGGTACCGATAAAATTCAGTAAAATTTTTAAACAGATTCAACCAACAATTTCTCTGTGAAGAAAATAAAATGGCGGCGGAAATTTTGAAACGTCGCATGGCGCCTGGGATATATTGGCCGGAAGGTGACGATGTACGAAAGCCGCTTTAACAGCGCTCTGCGATGCACAATCGCCTAAGTCCCTTATCCACCCAGAGCCCCTCTGGAAGCTGGCATTCGCTCATTTTTTGTTCAACCTTTCACTGGGTGTCCCCTTCGTCTCGCTCTAGGAGAGCCCAAACAAGCATCTTTTTTGGGCAGTCATTCTCCCGTAATCATGATCACATGACGAAAGGAACCAACCTGCATTAAGTTGAAACTGAGATAAAGAGGTTTGAAATTTTATGTCTGCATGCATAAGGCTCAATGTAAGAGATAAACTTGAACCCCTCTTTTCAAAAAAAAAAAAAAAAAAAAAAAAAAAAAAAAAAAAAAAAAGTTTGTGCTTAGCCTTTCAGTTTTTGGGAGGAGAAAATAAACGGCTGGTGAAACTCTATAACATCTTTAACTCAATTTTTTTTGGGTTGGTTCCTTTCTGATGAACTCGTTCCATTCAAACCGGTATTTCCCGATCTTAAGGAATATTCCTCATCTATGCCTTGCATGCCTATCTCATCTATTTATTATGTTTCCCTAGTTCTCTGAAAAATTTAATACTAACCCTGGTAAAAATTGGCAGTAGAATCTGTTTTCCAAAATACCATAGACCTACAGCCGGCTGTAAGATTTCCAATAGCTTCTATAGCCGGCAACACAATTTCTTACAGCCTTTTATAGCCGATGGCGACTAAGCAACAGCCTGGCGATATAGTGTATGCTAGACGTTAGTAATTACGGATGCAGGGACTCGGTGAGTTTTTGGACTACCGCTCTCTTTTTGGGCCGTAGTATCTTTATTTATTTTGCGAGGAAAGCTCCGTACTTTTGAAGGATGCCTGCCATTCCTAATATGTTGGAGCGCCTACAATTTTGTATGATACTGTGCAATACCTCTGGTGTGAAATAGTTGCTTCAAGCGCCGTGGTACGCTGCGGCGCGGCGCGGCAGCCAGCGCGAAACGCGCACTGGCGCCTACAAACCTAACTGGGATACTTCACGCATTGCGCAATGCGTGAAGTATCCCTGTTAGGTTCGTAGGCGCCAGTGCGCCGCCGCTCTGCTTTGTGTTAGGCCCTAATATTTAATCTCGTGGAGTCAGCGTTTTTCAACTCATGACTTTGAAATGTTTGCACACTCTGTATGGATTATTCTCATTTTAATTGATGGAAAAATATGTAGTAAAGGAAAATATAATGTGCGTTTTGTAAATATTAAGGTGATATCGTACAAACTTAAGGATTTACAAAGCAAATGAATTTCTACACAATTTCTTATAGCCTTTTTTAGCCGATGGCGAAAAAACAACAGCCAGGCGATAAATAGTAAAGCCCGGCGATAGGAACTATAGCCCGGCTGTATAATTTCTCATCGCTTCCTGTAGCCCGGTCGTATGATTTTTTCCACTTTCTACAGCCAGCTATATGATTTTCTATGGCCTTCTTCAGTCGGCTATAAGAACTCCTATGGTATTTTGAAACGTAGCTCCTATCGCCAATTTTTACCAGGGAAAATATTCTAACGCTCAACATGGCAGCAACGGACAGGGCAAATGTGAGAAAAGAGAGGAAGAGAGAGACAAAGGATTAGAAGGAGGAAGATGACTGGAGGAAGAGCGAGAAAGAAAACGCTTTGACATGGAGCCAAAGAGCGAGAAGCCAGGAATCGGGACATCATCTCTTCAGAGGCGAAGCGCAAAGCTGCCCTCAGTTGACCCGTCTATTCCCGTGTTCGGACGAGGAATACCTGAAAGCTGAACCGGAACACCTGGAAAACGAACATCCAAATTTCGAACGAACTCGTATTTTCTCGAGGCACGTTCCTCCACCTAAAGGGTCAATACCTAACAGATTAAGGGTGAATTGGACCACATTTTGCTACTAGGAACTACTCTTTCGGGCTCATTTTGTAGTATCACCTATCTGCATGGGAAAACTAAAGATACATACGTTATGTCTAAAATGAGCCTTGAAACGTTCAGTCTTATTGAAAAAAATGTGGTTCAATTAAAGTTATTGCATCGTTTAATTTAATATATTTATACATTTATAAATGGACGCTACAAGAGAGGCCCATCAATGTGATTGTTGACTGTTTCCTTTCAAAAATTGTCGGCACGGAATCTTTGAGAGTAATCAATGTAATTGGGATACATCACAGATCAAATTTTGAGATTTTCAAAGAACTTTGTGCAGGTCCGGCCGAAAAATGGAAACATCCGCGTCAGTTTGAAAGCCCCTATCGGGATGCACGATTTTTCACATGGGTGCCTTTTTCATTAAATCTTAAAATATGGGCAAAATGTCATTTTTATTATATGAAATTTTATCGATCGACGAATTTTACAAAATCGCAGTTGGACCAAATTTTTCTTTAAAAATGTCCTCGTATATGGAAGAATGTTTGCTCCCTCCGGCGTTTTGACTCGCTTTCGAAGAGCAGGGCCGAGTTTTTTTCTTTTTCTTTTTTGTTCTTTGAGCGCACAGTCGACATGCTCGCAGCCTTTCGGTAGCCACCATCTCGACATAACGTAAATCCCGATCAAAGCTGCGGATGGCTTGCAAGCAGGGTTGCCTTATTGCACAGCTAAAACGGAGTAGGAAATAGTTGCGGGAGCGGGGGCAGGGGAGGGGGGGCCTAGCCTTGGGCGGAGCTTAACTTGCCACGCGGGGGCTTCGCGGCGCGCGTTTTTCAGTTTTCTTTCGAAAAACGGGCGACGAGAAAAGCCCCGAGTAAATCGGTCTTATCCCTGCCGACCGGAGTGATCATCCGTCCCGCGTAAAAATACTCCTCCGGGTGTGCGTTGCGCGTCCTGTCCAGTGAGGTTCTGATAATCCCTGCGAGTGCGTCTGCGGCGTGGGTCAAAAGTGCGTTTTGTCACTGTCCGTCAAAATTCTGCGGCTAATTTTGCGCGTTTATTTTCGAGCGGCGGCCACGCGCTTTTGCAGAGAGCGAGCGGCCGGCGATAAGAGGAGCCGGTGCATGTGCAATTAATCCCCTATTTTTCATCCATTTCTTCCGGGGCCCTATTGTCGGCGCCTCTCCTTTGAACCTAAGTGCGCTTGTTCCGTACTTAACTTTGAGCTGTGTGCCGGTGCCATGCCTGCTTTTTGAATTCATTAGTCCTGGCCCGGGAGGGCGATTACCAGAGTCTGGAAGTGTACAATAATTTTGAATGAATTATGACTGCAAGTTACGGGCGGTCGTACTTTCGTTTTTTATTTATTGTCTCAATTTAACGTGAAAAATTCACTGAGCCCAAATTGAATAGTTTTAATGGTCAGTTCACAATTGGACTGCATTTTGCAATTTGGAACTATAAATTCTGGCTCTTCTGGAAAAACACTTATGTGCATAGGGAAACTAATGGCACATACGTTATTTTTAAACCGGGCTAGAATTCATAGTTCCAAATTGCAAAATGTAGGCCAATTGTACGGAACATTGCACTATAAAAAAGTTTCTTTATCACTACTTTAAAAAGTTAATATTTGATCAATACGTTTGATGCTCAGTGACTGATCAATACAAAAGTATTTTCGCCGTTGTCATACTTTGAATTTTCAAACTCTGGCAAAAAAAATTCAAAATTCAAGACGTTTTTTACGGCTTCACTAAACATTACATAAGAAATAAAGGGCACCTAGTAATATCGGACAAAACTCCTCAGAGGAATCCAAATTATAACTTAGGTACTTGCATACAGGCGCGTAAAACAAATGCTTCGTGACGATTCGCCTGCTTTGATGATGAGACTAGCAAGCCTAGGCATTTTTGTTTATTTTTTACGATGTTGGTAATGGAAAATTCGAATCTATCTGAACAATACAAATGATATAATCACTAAGTTAAAAACCTCGATAAGGTTCGGGTGCAGCCATGCTTCAATGTTTTCGACTTGATAACAAAACAGTCAAAATTAAGATCAGAACATTAGAATGAGTGAAAACTGTATTATTGAATCAACTGCGCGTCTATATGAATTTCTTTCCACAATGAAACACACGGACATAAATTTTAAAACTTAGCATGCGCTCAATTTTTCTTATTTACTTACATGTTATCCAAGGCTTTGGCTGTACTAATTTATTTAAATCTGACGTTTTGTTAGAAGTATACATTTTTTGACAGTCTTATACCTATAAGTTATTTAGCCAATCAATTTTTTCAACGCCTTAAATATTTCACCTGATATAGTTTGTCTCAGAGTGACAAGTTTTCATTGTTATATAGTATTATAATCCTTGCGTACATGATTTTTGAGAGTCAACATATGAATTTAAGAAAAATTTCCGAAGAAAAAACTCGCAAAAGAAGTTGTTTAAAGGCAATTGTGGCGGACTTTGTACGATATCTTGTGTACAAACATTGAGCATAAACCAGCCACTTTCTCAGGCCAAATTCTCTGCCCTTGAAAGCGGTTAATTTTCATGAGATTGGGTCTGAAATATATTGTTGCTAAAAATAATTTGTAGACTAAAAATAGCGCGGAATCATATAAATCTCCTCTTTAGATTATCCACGGATATGCTTTGTGTTTGTTGTTATCATAACAAAGAACGTTATTTATGACGTTCCACACTAAGGTTTCAACTATAATTACTTCTCCACTATGGACATATCTAACTTTAAAAAAAAAATACGTGAATAGCTTAGGAAAGAAAACTTTTCACCCGGAAAATATGTATAATGATAGCGGAAATGTAGAAGGACCAGCATTACCATTCTCAAATTTTCAGTGCCAAAATATTTGTCAGGTACGTGGGATATAATCGTGAAGAGACCTAAGAACAATACTCTTTGAAAACTGAGCTACGGTGAAACAAAATCATAGTTTGCTTTGGAGCAGCTGCTTTTTAACCAAAAAATTTAACCATCCTTGTCTAAGCTCAAAATTTTTCGAATTTTCGGGCGTTCTCGGTGATGACAATAAGTGACGCAAAATTAATTCGTCGATACGGTAATTGTTAAAAACTCTAAACGGCTCACCAAGAAAAAATAAAGCGAGAGAAGCGTTCATCAAAAATTTTCCACGACACGTTCCACAATCGTTCAAAAATAAGAACTCTCATTGCCTTAAAAGGATTTCCAGGTTTTTTAAAAATGATTAGATTTCGAGGAATACTAATCGAAACATTTTCCTCAGCAACATGGATATTTAGAGCACCAAAATTCATAATCTAGGCTTCCTTACTTAATGCCCAAAAACCGAGCTTCATGCACTTTTCACATAAATAATAATCAGCAAGAAAGTTTCCAATTCTAAACAAAAGTACATTTTCTTGTTTATTTTTCTTACGGACAAGCAAATGGTATGCCTCTGAATTTTACGAGTTATTTTTTCCAAACACTTTAAGAGTTTTCGCTCCCGATTTAATGTTAGTGGATAATTATAGATCGTACTCGATACATCTAACAGGCGATCTATTGCTGAGATTTATCGATGTCGATTGGTTTAACACGTAAACAAAGCCTCAAAAGTCAATCGAGTAATCTTCGGGAATGGGTTTTTTTGTGATTGATTTTTGATTCTTATGAGTAATATATCACAATGAAAAGTGAAATTGTTGGGAATTTCCTCTTTTTCTGCTTTTCTTACTTAAATCCTAAAATTTTTTTTGAGGTTATGTTCTATTGTTTTGAACCAAACGATACATCGATGTATCGAATACGACGCGAGGGCTAGTCAAGCACCTGGGGAAAGCTTCGAGCGGAGATCAATCCCCTTTTTTATGACTCACGGGCCGACTCGAAACCCTCGGCCGACCAATGACTCATAAAAAGTATTCCGCGCAGCGCCTGGTCATTGGCAAGGACCCCAATCCTCAAAATTCTGGCAGTCCCCGCGATCGATAGAATCAAATGACGATGCGATTCCGATATCTGACCCATTTCGATGGACTCCCGGCTCAGACTCATCACTCTTCGCGCGGGTACACACACGTCTTTCGTTGAGCGTTTGAGAAAAACTGGACCGAACCTCAGCCTCCCCCCGCCCCCCCCGACACCCTTCCTCCGACTGATGTTTCGGGGGCAACCGCGACGGAAAATAGCTCGTTTAATGTTTGTTCTCTCGATGGTTTAAAGTGAGCTTTTTGTCTTGCTTTGAGAGCTTGTTAAAATCTCCGGGCGAATAATCGTTTAAAATTATTGGTTCATACTGCCGTGATAAAGAAGAACGCCGTATGAACATTCTACAGTTGCCAAATTTCCCCCGATAAAACACGTATTTTTTAGGAGAGTTATGCATATTTTTCCTTGAAATTTTCAGATGATTTAGATGAAACTGCGGACAAAATTGACTGAAAAATTAGACTAAAAATATGAGCAACTTTCCCAATTATTTCGGATTTAATTGAAGCAAATTTGGCAACGCGTGAAGGCTCATACGGCGTTCTTCCTAAGCACGACAGCATAGTTGGTTGTATATGGGCAGATTTAGCCCTGATCAGCCCAACTGCATTCGCGCAATTGCGATGTTGCAAAGTTTTCTTTCCAGCTTGATTTTATGAAATAATATGGTGTAAAGATGCAAAACTCATCCCTACCTAAAAAAGGACCCTCAAGATCTGGGGGAATACTTAAGCAAGTTTCAAGCCACTAAGTTCCTTGTTCCTGGTATAAGATAAACATTGTACCGACTTGGTTAAATTGACCAGCAGTGACCATTATGGTACCAACATGGACTAATGTTAATGGCATGTTGTACCATGTTGATACTATGTTGGCGTCAACATGGTATCATGTTTTTCTCATCAACAGGTTCGGTGGTGCGATGTTCATAACAACATGATTTCAACAAAATACATGACTAGATTATTTCTAGGGGGAAAATTAATCCTCGTGACTTTAACAGTGGAAAACCCCACTCACAAAGAATATTTTCCATTTGAATTCATAGTACTTTTCATTTAATTCTTTTTGCGCCAACCGAGTTTCTTGCTAAGGCGACCAGAATGTCCACAAAAATTTCAGATGTCCCAATGAGCATTGCAGTGCAGAAATTATTCATTGGATGTTTCTATTGTTTCGAATGGAAAATTTTCCACGCGAGAGGCCATTATTTAAACATATTTCTTCCCCTTAGTTTTGCCGAATCTCCATGTTATGCCTTCTCAATCCAAAAACAAAAACAGGATCGTTTACCGCGCCCATGAAAATAATCGCTTTCAGGAAATACTTGGATAAAAATTTGAGGGTCATCATTATCAGTCAAATTTAACCTCAAGATCATCCTTTGTAAAAACTACACGAGGATCATCTTTTCCCCACGCCCCCCGTTAGAAGTGACAAACTTCAGGCCAGCTTCAAAAACCGTAAACAAAAATTTCTAAGAACTGCACCAACCTTGAACGCTAGCCACTTTGCCGCCTTTCCAATCCCATGTTCCCGAAAACACCGCGTGATTAATGACTATACCAGGCGCTCACGAAAATACACCTGATATTTCTAAAACCGCGTGAATTTGTAAAGAGGGTTGCAAAATCAACCTTTTTTCCTCCTAAGAAGCAATGTACAATATCGATATTTTAAAGATCGAGTTGGCAGCGCAGCTTTCGTCCACATTGGCACCGACTAAACAGATTAGCAACGGCTACCGCGGTTGATTTCCACTCTTAGTAATTTATTATGATATACTGAGGTTTAAACATTAGTTCGTGTGGATTTCCCTTCTATAAGTGGCAACTTTGCTTATTTTTACGGTGAAATGCGGCCCTTCACGAGGATCATACGGGCCGAAATCTAAATGAGAAAAATTGACGCGGCGACACCTGCATTGCATAGTAGCCCTAAAAAACCTGACCTGCGTATACCGATTTACTCCAAAAACTATAGTAATAAACGCGGTGCCCCGAATCGCTAAAAATATGCATTCTCAACTGCATGGTTCCGAAATTCCGTTTCGATTTCATTTTCTCCAAAACTTTCTAGGTAAGTTTCTTTTGGAGGTCCTGCAAAATATTTTTCGCGCGAGGAGGGTTAATGTCAAATGATTAAAAAGGGTGACTTTTATTAGGTCTTCGTTAAAATACAATGCAAAAAGAAATTCACCCTTGAAATTAGAATTTGAAATTTGGAGTTCATGCATTAAGCTTCAATGGCATTATTCAAGGTACGTTATCACAGGATTGCGAGAAGAAAGTTCATAACTGGTGAGTGCAACCCACAGAAATAAGTTTCATGAGGACCCACTTTACATTGTAAAGTCGTAAAGTGACGGTGACTTAACATTTCATTTGTAATTAATAAGAGGCCGTTCATAAAATACGCATTTTAAAGGTAGAGATGAGGAGGAGAGCGTTACGCCATTTTTTGTTATACGTGTTAAAGGATAGGGACCTCCGTCACAAAAATGTCATAAGGGTTGGAGGGGGTGCAAAAGTTCTTGATCGATATACTTTCATCGAATGATTTTACCGATCCAGAACACGGTATTTTATACTGATTAATAAATTAAAAACAAAATTGCATGGCATTAATGATAAGGTAAATTTTGGCAACGAACAAGAGTAAATATAATTTGGCAACATGGCGCGCACACGGCTCAGCGCATTGCGATGACAGTTAAGACGCTAGTTTTTACACCAATCCCAGAGGCGCGCTTGGTCGGATTAAACGCGAAGTCTTGTCAGCTAATGGACGGCCCATGAGACACCTCTGAGCCTGGGCCATTTTTAAAACTCAACATCCGGATGCTGTGAAAATAATTTAGGACTTTATCAATAATTTCCTCCTAACTCGCGACGGGAGATAATCAATCACGACTTACTTAATTCCGCCTCGCCGGTTAGGCCAGTCGGTGAACCGGAGTGGCTTCGTAGTACACCTCACAAATTAGAGTCTTCATCATTAATAAAAATCCTGTTCTGAGAAATTATCACGAGGTCGATGGTAAGCCGAAAGCTGATCTTTATGACCATCGTAAGGTGGTTATAACCAGCGCACACCTATGTTATGATTTTCCCCTTTTGCCTCGAACATATTTTGACTTGAACAGTTCACGATGTTTAGAATGAAATAGAATAGAATACAATGCAATAGAATAGAATAAAATGGATGAAAAATAGGGGAACGCTGTAAGGGAAACTGCAACTTTTCGTCCTCGATTTTTACTTGCCCGAATCAACTATCAAGCTTTCCTAAAACTTCAACAAAAGCACGAAGGAGCAGTGCCAATCAACGGCGCCTTCGAAATATGAATAGGACCGCACGGTACCCCTACCAAAACTCATTAAAACCAACGAAGGCAGAGCGAGGTGATCATAACGCCTGAATGCAACTAATCGTGTTCTGTGGACGTGCGTGTTGCATTATGAAAATTGAAGGCTTTTTCTAAGCCGCGTCCGGCTGAAGATATATACATGTTTGCAATTTCTCTTTCATATTTTTGGCCGAAGTATCACAAGCGCCAGGCGACGTTTCAAAATCTCCGCCGCCATTTTATTTTTTCACAAAGAAATTATTCAACGAAGCTTTCCAAAAATTTCATTGAATTTTCCTTCAGTTGCCGATAAAATTTAGTGAAATTTTCCAACAGATTCAACCAACAATTTCTCTGTAGAAAAAAAATGGCGGCGAGTATTTTGAAACGTCGCATGGCGCTTGCAATACTTTGGCCGGAAGGTGACGAAATACAAATCACGTCCTATAAATCCCGTTAAAATTCAAAGAGCAGTTTCCCTAGCCAGACATGCACCGATATTTGGTCAGTCGGAATGGCCTTCTCCTCCAAACGCATTCCAAGCGAATGCTTTTGGCTCAAAAATGGTGAAATTTCAGGCGAATGATTGACAGCACCTCCGCGCGCTCCTGTTGAGTTTGTTATGACCGGACGCTACCGAGCCGAGTCGTGGGAAACAGCGGGGTTTTTCGGTGCGCGAACCCAGAATACAAATCGCAGATGTTGAAGTGACATTACTCGCATTTTAAAAGCGGCATAACCTCAAAATTTCGAAATGTTGGGCCTGAACAAGTGCCAAAGCATGAGCTACATCGAGCAGCCGTTCAGCGCGGAGCAGGTCTACCAACAGAGCAAACAATACCTCGAGAGCTCCTCCAGCTCTTACCAGAACGGGCAGCCGTGCTCTTTTTCGGCTTTTTCCGCCTACGAGAGCGGGGCCGGAAATGGGCCGTTCCCGACGGAAATCGGCAACGGGACCGGAAACTACCAGTACTCGTACTCGGCTGTGAACGGAAATGGTTATGACTTTCCACGACAGCAGAGCCATCAGAGTCAGCAGCAGAACCAGCAGTTCCAGAGGAGTAATTCGATGCAGCACCCGATCAAACGGAGCAATAGCGAGATAATTTGTAAGAGAGGATTTAAACCCTCCGACAGAAAGGACCCTCAGAAAAAGGAGTTCTTAACTTCGTTGTCGCATAAGCTGTGGAGAGTTTCATTGGTAAGAACATGCTATTTAACGAAAATTTATTGAATTAATCACTTTTCCCGATTTGTTTTCCTTATATGCATGCTGCGTGCTGCGTGCTGCGTGCTGAGAATAGGCCAACTAAGGCCAATGACAGTAGGAAAAGAGGACCGGTTTATTTAAATTCCCTTTTACGTACAAAATTGTATCAGAAAATTTACTGTTGATTTTTAGTAGCTGGTGTGATTTTATACACATACCTATGTAGTCTAAATGCTGTTAAATCAACATCCTTTAAAGTTTCGGACGATTTGATAAAAGTTCGGAGTTATGCGTTTATTGTTTTTCTTTAGGAATGTATCGAGTATACGGATTGCTTATCATGCAGTAACATAACCTTCAATGATACATTTTTTTCAAGTCGTTTTATTTTGGTATTTAAGTTTTTTTAAAAAAATTAAAATCACAGAATTTTAGAAAATTATGTCGCGCAGAGAATATTTCGATTCCTTTAATGACCGGCACTTGTACTTTGTATTCATTGGCTTATGGAAAGCTGAAGTTTTTGAGGTAAATATTTCATCCTGACAAACAGCATCGTAACTTTTGGGATGACAAAAACTACTTCTTAGCCTACTTGAAGTATTAAAAAAGCTAAGGGTTGCCAAGAGAGAATGAAACAGAATATAAGTCTAGTTAAACATTCTAAGATTTTTTCCAAAATTTTCTTAGAAGTCAGTAACAACTTGAAGAATTTAAACTACAAATTCTTTTTAAAAATCAGCACTGTGGGAAAAGATGTGACAACAAAACGACGACAAAGCGGTTCTAATCCGACATTTTGCACTGAGTACGCAATGTCTTACTTTGCGTCGTGAAAAATTGCAATATGAGATCTTTAATCGTATTAGTTACTGAAGATAAATAAGGTAGTTTGTAACACATACGAATCCGTCCCCGTGGGGCAGTATTTACTCTCTACGTCCACGCATGTTTGGAAGAACATGACGTAAGAAAATGAAGCAGCTGACCCCTACGATTGTAGAGTGGGTTCAAAAACCTCTTTCCATGAAAGAGCGTTCAATTTTCGGTCGATGATTTTATCGGGTGAAATTTCAAGCGACACACACACTGGCTCATTGCCAAGAATCGTACGATCAAAGAGCTCATATTTGACGAGAACACATGTCTATGACTTGATCTGTCAATTTTTCCTCACGAATACACGATTAGAACAGTATTTATCATGCTCGTTCACTGTGTTCAAATTTTTTAAAGGAAATTTGCGAAGGATTTTATTAACTTTTTTTCAGAATTCTCTGAAGTAGTAATTTCTGACATGATTTTGATCAAAAAACATAAACTTTTTAGGCTATTTTTACTACTAGGCCATGGTCAGTTTACTGAAAGTTCATATCAATGACTCATTGCTCCAGGAACCGAATTTTTTCGACTCTCTCTCACGGAGGAGCAATATCCATCGATGAATCCAAACCGTATCGCCGGCCAATCAGAAGCGCTAAACCGAACTTAAGTGCAGTCAAAGGTCGTCCTAAGTACATACTTAGGACTACATACTACTTAGGTCGTCCTAAGTGCGGTGGAAGCCTGAACGGATCGACGAAATTCGACCTCTGTTACATTGTCTAAAAAGCAAAATGACAAGAGTTATGATTAATGATACCAAGATGCTGAGATGTCGTGTCTCTCTACCGAAACTACTCTGAAAAATAATGCAATTAACGCGATCTTGTAAAATAAAACTCCAGGAGTGACGTTAAAGTCAGAATAAACACGTAATTAGGATGGATTTATTGCTCCGCATTCATAAGCCGTCGCCCCCCCCCCTCCCCCACATCCTCATTCTACGAATTATCAACCGAGAAAAAGTGGGGGAAATAGGTCATGCGAACTGAACAAGTTCAATATGCCCCCCATGTTCCGTTGGTCGAACCAAACTTTCGGTAGATGTCATGCAAACTTTCAGCTTACATAAATGAAACTTTTCGTCGTATGAACGGAAATACACGTGAAGCTGAACTGAAGGAATAGTTACGGTTAAACGATTGGCAAGTTCAGTTTGACATAGCGAATAGCACGAACGGTGATAAACAAAGAACGGTCGGTGCGCATGTAACCGAGCTTTTTTCTCAGTTTGTAATTGACGTGCAGGGAAAATTGTGAAAATTGTACCGCCTGATCTGTAAGAATGTGCGAATCTACTTTATAAACTTACTAGAATTTCATTAAAATTAAACGACCTGTGGCATGAATATGCTGATGACGATATCTGCGAGTACATATAATCTGCATTAAAGTCGAAAATCGAAATAAACATTGATGATTTAAGTCCAGAAAACCGAAATATGAGCAATAACTAATTTTCTGTCAATCTTTTCCTGGTCTTCACATCGAAAGCCGCTTTCTGATTAAATTTTTAGCGTATGAATTTTACATTGACTCCATCGTTCTTGAGTTTGAATATCAGTGTACTCTTGTATGCTCGAGGGCTAATGCCGAAATTTAGATGACATTTTTTCGCTTAGACGTCACGTCCGGAGTTCGCTCCAGGCGGCCGACAGTGGGCCCAACCTATTGGCCAAAAACGTTGTCGTTTAATCCTCTCTAAAACGGGTTAAAAGGGCCCGAGTGAGCTGATTTGAAATCAGTCTCTGTCACCTCCGAAACCAGCTTCAGCCTCGACAAAAGCCCGCGCAACAGTTGCACTTTCCAATGTTTCTAAATGTTCAATTACGCGCTCTGCGGGGTGTCCGAACAATGCCACCTGAGCTAGCTCCCCCTCCGTTTCTCTGTATACCTTTTCTTTGAGCCGAGAATGGATTTACGCAAAATAAAAGGACGATTTATGTTCGTGACCCTCCGTCCTCAAACTACGGCCGGATGAAATTGGCGTTTTGATTATGGTTCCCACTCACCGGCACGTATTAGCTTAATTAGCAAGCGCGAGATACCAAGCCGTGTGCGCTGTGATAAGATCTAGTCTGAGGNGGGGGGGGGGGGGGGAGACTACTCTGCCTCTCAGGCTCCGACGCAGGACCCAATTTCCCCAATTTCGCAAAAAAGGTATAATTTATTTTAATTTTTATTCATTCATTCATTCATTCATTCATTCATTCATTCATTCATTTATTTTAACGAACAATGGACTTAAAGGAGGAGTTGCGTTTTGGGCCTTTTCCGGCCCCACCTGGATTTTGCTAAATGTTTCATATTTTCAAAGTACTAGTTTTAGGTAGATTCTGTGCCAAATATTAGACCGAACGGAGCCCATGCAAGGGCGCAGCAGCGCCTCAAACCCAAAATCCTGGAATCGAAAAACAATTATTTTCGTCGACTTTTTCGACTGTTATCACTCTTCCAGCACATGATTCTTATGTATTTTTTTGCGTAATTTTCGTTTCTGGCCTTTTTAAAGGCCTCCGATAAATTTTAAGGGGCCTTATGGCCCATTGTTGCCATTTTTGGCCCATTTTTAGGGGTTTTTTTCCATTTAACACATTCAAAACTCAACTTAATCCAAAAACTGTGTACATTTTTGAAAAGTACGTAAAAAAAGAATAAAAAATGTTCAGTAAAATTTTTTCCTATGTTGCCAAATTTCCGAGAAAATTGGTCCCAAAGTGTCGAAAACGGCAAAAAATCGATAAATCGCCGCGTCTAAGGTTCAAGAAAGTGGAGTACATTTTTCATACTGTACCAGATAACAGCTCTTATCCATCCATACAACATACTAAAATATCATAGTTGTACCTGGATTCCCACGATGTGAAAATTGACCGAGATGTCGATTTTAGCGGCCTTTTTATACTTGAAGGCAGCTCTTTTGAATGTTTTTCGACCTTAGTCACCCTCTATGGGTGTGTACTATATGTATTTTTCTACGTACTTTTCATATCTGGCCATAAAAATGGCTTCCTGTGAGTTTTAAAAGGCCTAACGGTCCATTGTTGCCAATTTTCACCAATTTTTAGGGGTTTTTTCAAGTTTACGTGTGTGAAACTTAATTTAATCTAGAAACCGTGTACACTTTCGGAAAGAACGTAAAAAAATACATAAAAATGTGATTTGTACCTTTTCCCTACGTTGCCAAATTTTCGAGAAAAATCGTCCTGAAGCGTCAAAAATGCCAAAAATTGGATTAATCATCACGTCGGAAGAGTGATAACAGTCGAAAAAGTCGACGAAAATAATTGTTTTTCGATTCCAGGATTTTGGGTTTGAGGCGCTGCTGCGCCCTTGCATGGGCTCCGTTCGGTCTAATATTTGGCACAGAATCTACCTAAAACTAGTACTTTGAAAATATGAAACATTTAGCAAAATCCAGGTGGGGCCGGAAAAGGCCCAAAACGCAACTCCTCCTTTCCAGTCTTGACAGTTTTCACTGTCTTTCGACCAAAAACTCTCTCTATTTTACAATCTTGACCACAATCCTTGATACAGAAATTTAAACCAGATGTATACATCATGTATGATGTATGATGTATGTGTTATGTAGATGTATGTATCATTTCGGTAAAAAAGGATCTTAACCGGTGCTTGTGTGGTTCACTTGCAATAACACACGCTTGTACCCTACGCTTAACATTGTTTTTTCCACCGAATGGTGGTACTGATACAGTCGAGCAAGCCTCATCCTTATTTACGCTGTTTAGAGTTTAGATAGAAAAATGCATATAGTTTTAGGATTAAATGCGTTTAAATGACGCTTGACAGAGTTTACAGAGATATGTATTTAATATAGATTATCAGTACTCACCAGCACATATTTTTAATATTTTGATCCAAATTTAGTGACTTTTGATGGCGTCCTTCATTTATGAATCAGGCTGAAGTGTATGTGTGAAGAAATCCTTATTAACAACACACAAGATCATTTTAACAACCGAGGACGAATGATGTTCATTTAGCAAACTATTTTTCATCATAATATCGTGAAAAGTTTTCAATTATCACAGTATTTTCCAGCACTTCACTGTAAACTTTAAAATGACAGCCGTTCCTAATAATTTGAA